AATTTATTTATTTTATTATTAATCTTATATAATATTAATTTATTATTTAAAGATACTATATCTGTTCTGTAATTTTAAGTATGAATAATATCAAATAAAAAATAAGTTTAAAAATATAATTTCTTGTTCACTTTTGATTTAGTTTTTTATGTAAATTCTATCTCAAATATAATACTATATCCTGACTTTTCTATGTGAATTATCTGAATATATTACATTATGTAACTAGAAGATTATATACTTATTAAAATTTTTTATAATTTATATTTTTAAAATTAAAAATTTTCAAATAATAAGAAAACTTAAAATTTATTATAATTAATTTAATTATTATTTAGTAAATTAATCTTAAGTAAATTTATTTACTAGATTATTAAGTATATATTTAAAATTTTATATAACTTTAAATAAATATTTATTAAATAATAAATAAAAAAGATAAAAATATATTTTAAATTTTTTATAATTAATTTTTTCAAAAAAATTTTAATAAAAAAATTATTAGTTTGAAAAATTTTATTAAGATAAACTATTAAATATTTTTAAATAAATATATTTATTAGATTATCAAGTATATATATTTAAAATTTTATATAATTTAAATAAATATTCATTAAATATAAGTAAAAATAATAATTCTAGTTTTTTTATTATATATTATAAATTATAACTTAAATAAATTTTATATAAAATTTTAATTTTTTATTTTAAATTTCAATATTATTTAATATTATAACTTATATTTTTATAATTATGATCTTATATATAACTATTATAAAATAATTATTATTATTATAATTATTTTTAAGTATTTATCTATAATTAATATTTTAATTATTTTATATTTAATATATTTTATAATAAATAATATTATCTCTGAATTTATTTTGAAAACTTTTCAAAGAGTGATCTAAATTATAATATAATTTATATTATATAATTATAAATCAAATAATTTAAAATTAATTAAAATTAATAAATTACTTATTATTTAAAATAATATTTTTAAATATAATATATCTTGATTTTTATTATATTAAAAATAAAAAATATTATATTTATATATTAAATATTATTCAATTTCTTATAATTTATTTTTGAATTAAATTTATATTATTAATAATTAAATAAAATAATTATATATATAGTTAAAAATATATATTATATAACTGAAAATTATAAAAATAATAAGTTTTTAATTTATTTATTTTTCAAGAAAATGTTCAAAATTAAAATAGTTATATAATTAATATAATATCAGATGTTGAATAAAATGATTTATATTCTACGAATATATTTAATTTCAATTCTAATTTAAAATCAAACCAAGATATTTTTTCATATATACAAGTATATGAGAAAAGTAAATCTTCTTTAAGCATTATTTATTATTAAACATATTAGTATATTATTAATAATAATTAATATATAATTTTAATTTGAATATTATATGATTATCGAGTCTAAGCTTTATATATCATATTGAAAAATTTTGAGGACATTTACTTAAATATCAATTCTGTAATATATTATAAATTAGTGTTTTAATATTAAGAATTTTATAGAAAATAATGAAATTTTGAATAAATTAATGATTATAAAATAATTCCTTTTGAAATTCTATGTACATGTAACTAAAAAAAATTATGATAAGATTGGACATTGTGATATATTATGCATATAAATGTTATTTAACAAAATGGATACATGTATTGATATGCATAATGTCTTTTGATATAATACGATATTTGACTTCTCCATACATGTACTATCTATTTTATTATAATAACCGTCTCTACCCTATACTAATGAGCTTTCTAATCAGATCTCACTGTTTTTGAAGAATATGGAAATTTTGTGTACTGCATTGAACACTGGACTCTGAAGAACATGAAAGAATATACGACATTTATTAAAGTTACATGCGGATACCAAAATAATTTCTTCTAAAAAATATCGATATCTTGTAATTAAACAATTACACGACCTAATTAAATGTAAAGAAAAGATGAACGGCTAATACTGATAGTTTAGAAATTTATAGTCCACAACAATCCAATTACATTAATTAAATATGAATTAAAGTAACAGATAATACTAGAGAATTTTGATAATTAAATAATTCTGTCAATAAAATATGTAATAAGCACGTATGTGCATGTATACCATACCATACGATCATTACAAATGTTTAAATTAAGAAAAGTGAAGTGATTAAATATTAACACAAGTTTAAGTTTTGATTATTTATTAGCTATACATGTACACCCTCCCTAAATGCACATTATGTCTGAATAGTGTATGATCCATAGGGGTGCATTTAGAAAGGTGTAACTGTACTGTTAGATTAAAATTCTTTTCTTCGAATTTTATATGAGGCATTGTTTTTGGTATTATCATACAGATTAGAATTTGCCAAGAGAAATCATACTGGTTTATTAGACAAATGGTTCATCTATTGTATGTCATGGGTCATAGTACACCGCAATATTTGACCAGTGTTAATTATTAAATTATTAGTAAAAATGGTGGGTGGTTGGTTAGTATGCATGGTGGTGGGTACTGTGACCCGTGATATACGGGCAATTCTATGCCAAATAATCAAATTGTGAAATCCGTTCGTAACTTAATATTAAAATTAATAAGGTTAAGAACTCAGGCATTCGTTTGCCGAATATTTTTTGAACATTAAAATTAAAAAATAGATATGCGATTGGACATAATACTCATCTTTGATTTTTATACATGCACTAATAATTTTTTACAAAAATTGGCCGACCGATTATTATAATAATGAATAATAAGATTAAAAGACTTGTGTAAATATAAAACCTAAAATTTACCAATATTAATATAAACTTTCAATCCTCAGCGCAGCAGATCCAAAATTCAGGCGTAGTATTTCGTTGAGGTGGTTTGTCCTCTGTCACGTCTTCATCATGCCAAGCCTATAAAGTAAATAATAAATAAATAAACAAAATGTTTGAAAAAGATTTAATTTGATTGTAATTAAATAAGAATAATTACTAGACAAAAAGCCCACTTCCTATACATGTATTCATGCAACACCAAATGACGAGTTTTGTCGATTAAATAACACCCATTAGGATGTTTGGCACACCATCCGGCATACTTGTTTTTCAGTGAGGCAAGATGCATATCAAAAGATTCTTTACATGTTGATGTCTGATTATATATAAATAAAGCGCAGAAATTAAATTATACTCAACTAAAAACCATGAGATAAACGAATAAATGGTTTATTACTTGATCAGCTACAAAATTATTGTCGCTTGGATGCTTCTTGTTTGCTTTTACTTGTTTGGCTTTTGTATTAGCATAATAATTAATAAAGAAAAATTATAAATTCAAATAATCTTTGATTTTATTTACCTTTTTTAAAAGAACTTGATTCGAGCGTGATTGTTTTACGTTTTGAAGTTGTTTTCTTTGTTGATGTTTCTTCTGTTAACGGGTTAATAAATTATTTATAATGATCCATTCTTTTTTAGAAATTTTAAACTTGCCTTTGACTGCGCGTTTCTTAGTACATGTATCAGGTTTTTCGGATCTACTATCACATTCACCCACATCTAGAGTTAATTCATCAACATTTTGATTTTCTCGATCGTCGTACTCGTGACTGTTATTCTAATATGCAATTGCATGTACATGAACATAGTATGTTAAAATCTGTCATTACTGTTATTAAATTTTGTCTTTACTCATACTTTTGGCTTTTCCACGCGTTTTCTGTTGGTGAGTTTCTTTACTGTTTTTGTGCTTGATTTTTTGACTACCATCTTTTTCTTATATTCCACTTTAATTTTACTCCTAAATTGAGAATTACAAATATTATACTCAATCGATAGAGTATAATTATATACGTAAATGTATATTAGCTAGACTTGAATTTATTTCATGCAACTGATTTACTGATGATCTTAATAATTATATGTACGCGACGCGCTTTCAAAACATTGGTCACAGCAAAAAATTTATGTACTGATGACGCGTTAATTTTCAAAGTAGCTTAATCAGCGTGTTTTCTAATTAGGAACGTAAAATTCATTTTCCAAATCTATTACCGAGTCTTCCAGGGCGACCCCTAAAAGTTCTGGCCACGTGATATTGCTGATCGACACCGGCTCTTCCGATCCGCCAGTTCCGATCCATGGAATATTCATGTACTACAAGTATACTAAGTATACTTGGTTGGCACTTAATATATATTAAAGCCTCTTGTCTTGATATAGTGAATTTTCACAAACTATTCAGATATCTTTATTATAAAGAGTCTTGACTATATTAATTATATGTTTGTGAGATGATGAATTAATTGAATTTGCTCAAGTAATTCTTTGCAAGATTTATCAGTCACATCCAGAATAATTTGTATTGGTGAAAAAGTTTATCAGTTTGCAAGATAAATGAAAATATAATAAGAATTTGTTCAAGTAATTCTTTATAAGTTTCATTAATCATATTAAAGCTTATATTATCTTGCATTAATATTATATTATTTAGTAAAGAGCATTGATAAAGAGGTTCTTTCAAGTATTTCTTCAATATCTTTTATATTAAAGATGAATTCTTTGAATTAATATTATTATTCTTTTTATAAATAATAATAATTAATTATAATTTTGATAAATTATTAAAGAATAATTAAATAGAATTTCAATTAACAAATATACATATTTTGATTATGCTTTTTAAATTCTTTAATATTAATACTAATATTATTTTTATATTCTTAATGATATCTAATTTTTCTTTATAATTATCTAATTCTTTTGAATATGATAAAAATATTAAGTATAACTTTTTATTTACTAGTATTCAAGTTAATTACTAATATCTTTATTATTTTGTTATCTGAATTTCTTTTTTATTAGTACTATTTTACTTTATTTTATTATTATATAAATATAATATCAGTTATTAGTCAATTTTTTAATATAAATTTGCTTGATTATTTATTTGAATAATAATTAATTTGATTTGATATAAGTCTGAGTTTCTTTCTTTGAATTTTTATTAATAGTAATATTATTAGACATATTATTTATAATAACTTTTATACTATTAGAATTAGTAACTTGAACTTTCTTAATCTTAGTAAATAAAATAAATAAGATATTAGTTATAATTTCTTTATTTTTAGAATTTTTTAAAACAAGAAATAATAAAATAATATAATATTCAAAATTATAATATAGTAATCTTTATTATTTACTATTGAATATAATATTAATTTACTAAATTAAATATTTATATAGAAAAAAGTAACTTTTAAGAATGACAGAATAATTATAAATTTAATAAATAATATTAATAAAATATAAACTATCTAGATTTATTACTTTTGTACTAATATTATTATAGTAACATAAAATTTCTTAATTTCTTAATCTTTCTCTAGTTATAAAAAATTATATTTTATTATAATTTTTATTCATTTCATAATTATCTCTATTTTCTATATCATTTATTACTATATTTATTATCATGTTTTTATTCTATTTTTAAATATTATATCTTATTTAATATTTGAGATTTATATTTTTATTATCTTGTAATATAATATTCATGTATATAGTAGAATAGTTTAGTAAAAAATCATTTTTAATTTTGATAGAACAGTTATACTTAAATAATAATCTCAAATATCTTTTTATATTCTTTGACATTCTTTAATATTCTCTCATATTCTTTCACATTTTTTCACATCTTTCAACATCTTTCTATATCTTTTCATATCTTTTTATATTTTTCAACATCCTTTCACATATTTTGATATTCTTTAACATTTTTTGATAGCTTTTAATGTACTTCAACATAACCCATTCATAATTATTTATACTATAATACTTTAATTATATCTTGTATATTAGATAGTATTAGTTAGTAATACTATAATAATTTTTGTATCTAAAAAATATATAAAAGGATCTGCTATTCCAGCTTGAAATAAATAATTTTGAATTGAATTATTTGAAAAATATAATTTTAAAGATTACTTTTATAATCTAATTATATTAATATTCTTTCTTTTACTTGATTTTATTCCTTTGACCATATAAAGTTAATTTTGGATTTTTGGATTATAATGTTATATTGATTTTTGATTTTTGATATTATTTTAAGAGTAGATGATCTTTATTATAAATAAGTCATATTTTTTTATTTTATTTATTTTATTATTTTTGAGAGTAGATGACTTCTACTATAAATAAGTTATACATTTTTATTTATTTAGTTATTTAGTTTTCATATTATAATTTTTATCTTTACTCTAGTTATAGTCTTCTTTGATTAATAGTTTACTATTTAATTAATTCAAATCTTGAATTATATCAATTATTAGTGGTTTCACTCAGATAATCTTTATAATTTCTTTAATTTATTTTATTTTTTCTTTATTTAATTACCCTTTGTTAAGATAATATCTGTAGATATTAGCACAGATCTTAGAAATCTTTGTTATTATTGAAAGTTATAGTCTAATTCCCCTCTTATTACTCTTTAATTATTTCAGTTTCTCTCAATCCTATATTATTAGGATGAATTAAAGTGAAATTTCACTTACCAATTCACCATAATAATAAATTATTATAAGTTACAGTAAGTTACAGCAAGTTATAATAAGTCGTGACAAGTTGTGGCAAGTTATGGCAAGTTGCAGCAAGTTGCAATAAGTTACAACTTGTGATAAATTATGGTAAGTTATGATTTTTATTAAATTTTTTAATAAATTACAATATATAGTTCAATATAAGTGTTGCAATATAGTAATTGCAGTTACTATCTTTAGTCAGATTTTTGAAATTAGTAAAAAGAAAGATTGATAAGTCTTCTAATATTAATCTTATAAGTATAAATGGAAAGCCTGAATAATTATTAGAAAAAGTAAAAGGGTTAAAAATAAAAATTAGAGATCTGAATCAATAAATTGATATTCTAGTTATAAAAAAGACAGAATATAACTTATTACTTGATAGCTATTAGACAAAACAGTCCAAAGTTATTTTGAATTGGAATAAAGAACTCTTAAATTTTAAAGTTGAAGAAGAGTCTATAATCATCCTAGTTATTTACATTCAACAGAGAACAATCATAAAATTGATTGATCTTGAGAGAATTTGAGGATTCTGTTTTTGAGAATGAAGATAATAAGTTTGAATATAAAGAAGAAGAGCTAATTGATCAGCTCTTATATATAATATATGAAGAGCAAAGTAAGCAACTTGTGCTGAAAGTGAAAGTTCAAGAAAATCTTATAAAAATCAATAATAAAATTATTAAACTGAAAGAAAAAGAAAGAATTTGTTGAGAAAGATTAGAAAACTATAATACTTGTATTCATAGTAAAAGAGAAAATAAATATATTTAATATAAGAAAGAATAAGAGATATATATAGACAGTTAGAGATACTATCTTAATTATTATTAAATGTCACTCTAACTATGATTGAGTCAGACTTGGATTCAGAATAATAATAATATCTTTATCAAGTTCTGAATTTATATAAAGATCTTTTTGATATAATTCAGCCTGGTAGAATAAATATATTTCAACATGAAATATATTTAGAAGAAGAAAGATCTATTACTTTCCAGTCATATCATCAAAAATTACTCATGAAAAATATCTTTCTAAAAGAGAAGATTCAAAAAATATTAAATAATAAAATAATATCTTCTTCTAACAGTTCTTAATTAGCATCAATAGTAATAATAAGAAAAAAAAATAGAAAATTCTGATTATGTGTAGATTACAAAAAAATTAAATAAAGTTATCAAGAAAGATTAATACTCTCTTTCACAAATTAATAAATTCTTGAACTCTTTCAAAAATGCTAAATACTTTACTATTATGAATCTTGTTAATAAATTTTGACAAGTAGAAATACATTCAAGAGACAGAAAGAAAATAGTATTTATTATCAATAAAAGACTATTTTATTTTAACGTAATATTATTTGGACTTATAAATACTCTAGCTACCTTTTAAAGACTTATAAATAAAATATTTAAAGAGTATATTAAGAAGTTTATAGTCATATACTTGGATAATATAACTATTTATTCTGAAACTTGAGAAAAATATGTAGAATATGTACAAAAGACTCTAGCAAACTTCAATAAGCAAATCTCAAATTCCAATCAGATAAATATATCTTTAGAAAGAATCAGTTATTCTTCCTAGATTATATTATAGAAAAAGATAAAATTTACTCTGACCTAGCCAAAATAGAAAAAGTACAAGAATTTCTAGTACCTATCAATATCATATTATTAAGAGGATTTGTAGAACTTATCTTCTATTATAGGAGATTTATCAAAGATTTCACCAAGATAATAGCTCTCTTACATAAACTATTTTAGAAGAATAAAGAGTTTAAATAGATAGAAAAGCAATAAATTACTTTTAAATCACTTAAGAAATATTTGACTTCATTATCAATTATCATATATTCAGACTTCACAAAGCTATTTACTCTTTTTACTGATACTTCTGAACTAGAATTAGATGTAGTATTAGTATATTATGATAATGAAAAGAAAAAATATATAATTACCTATGCCAATAGAAGAGTAAGTAAGGAAGAAAGCAAGTATATTATAATAAAGCTAGAATATCTTGAAGTTATTTGGGTAATTAAACTATTCAGATCTTACCTATTATCTGATATTTTATTCATGTTAATTACTGATTACTTAGCATTCAAGTGATTAATCAATAAACTAAATTCTTCTGAAAGACTTACATGTTGGATAATAGCTTTATAAGAATATA